CCACGGGCGAGCGAAGGGGGGAAGGTCCAGAACACACCAAACAGAATCATGGAGTGGTCTGGGTTGGAAGGGACCTTAAAGCTCGTCTGGTTCCAGCCCCCCCGCCATCAGCAGGGACCCCTTCCCCCAGGCAGGGGTGCTCAGAGCTCCATCCAGCCTGGCCTTGAACCCTGCCAGGGAGGGGGCAGCCACAGCTTCTCTGGGCAACCTGGGCCAGGGCCTCACCACCCTCATGGGGAAGAATTTCTTCCTAATATCTAATCTAAATCTGCCCTCTTTTAGTGTCCTATCACTGCACCCCCTTGTGAAAAGCCCCTCTCCATCCTTCCTGCAGGCCCCTCCAGGCACTGACAGCTGCTCTAACGTCACCCCGGAGCCTTCTCTTCTCCAGGCTGAACAGCCCCAACTCCCTCAGCCTGTCCTTCTTGCTGACTGTGTCTTTGAGCAAATGCTGCTTGGTCTTGATGGGATGAAAAGAGGAGCTTTTGCAGCAGCAGTAACGTGATTTCACCACAGTCCCTTTCCACAGGGTTGTCTTTGTTTTGCAGCCCCTCCTGGTGCGCAGCAAAGCGGAGGTGCGATGCCCCCCGGGCCCTGGGCAGGCAGTTGTCTCCGTTGGGGTGGAGGATGCTGGTTGTTGCCGCGTGCTCACTGGTAATGCTCTGACAGAGGGGTGCCGGTGGCGGGGTGGGTGGTGCCCCAGCTCAGAGGAACACATCCCAAGTACTGCTTCTTCGAGCTCCTACGAGGCAGGAGAGCACCTGCAGCTGCATAGGGAAATGACGGCAGCATATGGTCGGCGTGGTGAGCTGCAGTTGTGGTGAGCTACACCCTGTGCCAGCAGACTCGGGCCCTGTCAGCGAGGCTGGTGGTGCTGCGTGGTGGAAGTGGCAGTGGCAGGGCTGCTAACACTCTCAGGTTTTGCTTTTATTCAGGTATTTGACATCTCTCAAATGGATTGTGAAAAAGCGAGCAAGTTAGCAGGTTAAATACCACGTACATTCATTTGTCGTGACAGGAGTTTGGTGTCTGTGAAATGCACTGCGCTGGCAGTGGCCTGCAACACTGAACTCTCCTCGTCTGTGGGATGCATCTAACAGTACGAAAAGCTGCACACATTCTGCACATTTCCTCCCCCTGTACTTATCCCCAGGTCCCTGGAAAATAGGGAGGATATTTTTCTTTCTTTTTCTCTGTCTAGTCCATGTCCTCTGTGCTTAAGCTACAGGTGAGGTCCATGCCTGGACAAGGTCCTCTACAACCTACTGCAGGTGACCCTGCTTCGGCAGGAGGGTTGGACCAGATGTCTAACAGTACGAAAAGCTGCACACATTCTGCACATTTCCTCCCCCTGTACTTATCCCCAGGTCCCTGGAAAATAGGGAGGATATTTTTCTTTCTTTTTCTCTGTCTAGTCCATGTCCTCTGTGCTTAAGCTACAGGTGAGGTCCATGCCTGGACAAGGTCCTCTACAACCTACTGCAGGTGACCCTGCTTCGGCAGGGGGGTTGGACCAGATGACCCACAGAGGTCCCTTCCAGCCCCTGCCATTCTGTGATTCTGTGATTCTGTGATTCTGTGAGGCGACAAGTTGTGTCAGCCGCCCTTGGTGAAATTTAAGAGTCTGTCTGCTGCAAGCCAAGGCCGTCCCTTGTTTCTGACAGGCCCTAAGCAGCTGTATCTTGCTATGTATCAAGCTAATGAGCTGAGCCATTGCCTACAGTCACGGGAACTTCTGTGGACTGATGGGGAAGCAGATGCTGCACCTTGTCGTCCTTTGCTGGCCTGCATACATCTGACAGAGGTTTTCTCTGAAGCTGAAATATGCTAGTTTTCATTTGGACTGTCTGTTCCGTGTCCATATAACGAATTCAGTAGTGGTGCTAGAAAATCGCTGGGATATCGGAATGATCGGTGGTATCTAAGGCGTAGTGCGAGCGTGGAAGGGGCCAAGATCAAGCCATATCTACTGTGCAACAAGAGCAGCAAGAAATGGTTCGCCCTAGCAGAGGTCGGGTCAGATTGCCCTGTCCTGTGTGCTCAAGTCAGGGCGAGGGCTCTGAAGGGGGGGCTGCACTTTGCCGCCTGTGGGCTTTCTGGGTGTGTCTCCGTGGCAGAAAATGGCTGAAATTCAGTTAGTCCTAACATAGAAAATTACTCACGTGTTTTCTCCTGGGGTATGATTGCTGCGTGCACAGCAAGCACTGAGCGTGGCACTTCATCTCTTCTGCTGAGCAGCAAAACCAAATATAAACCCCTGATATAAACCCCTGTTCTCTTGTTTTATCTGGTTTTATCTAGATTGACCTACTCGCTCTGATTTTTTTTAATTATTCCCAAATGGAGAAACAAAGGCACAGAGACTGCGTTGAAGTCACACGTGGAATAGATGACAGACCCAGAAAGAGAGGGCTGGTCTGCGTGCATGCTGTCCTGCGCGTGGAACTTCGCGGCAGGTAGCTGTGGAAATCCACTGGGAAGCAGATATCCCCCGTGAGACACAGCTGCGGGGCCTCAGCGCTGGCTGGCTGGAGTCAGGGTTTTTTTGATGGAACTGACTCATCAGCAGCAAACACTGGAAATAAATCCTGAGGGAAAAGGTCCCTCCAGGAAAAAACAGGGTATAAAAAAGCAACCTATTTTGGATAGATGACACAATACCTATTATGGAAGCCGCACAGGACAGTTTGCCGATGCACAGTGAGGCCAAACCCAGACCAATGGCGCGGGGTGGGTGCAGCAGCGGTGAAGAGCGAGCTGTCACGCGGTGGAGAACAGAGGGGCACGGAAAGTGCTGACCGCCGTGAGCACTCATCGCTCAGCGATGCTCCCGTGGGTTTCGCAGGCCGCGTGCTCGGAAATGAGCGCTCCTCCCAGCTCGGTCGCGAGGCAGGCTGCGAGCCTGGAGCA